CAAACCTGCGGCTCCGAAGCCGCATGCGGTGTGAGCTCTTTGACGACTGCTGCTTCGCGACGACTTTATTTAGCAAGGGACAACCCCCCCCCCCCCCACCGTCTCGTGTTCACCACAGAGGGCATTGCGATCCTTGAAATATCGAGGGGTTTTTTGTTGTTGTTGTTATCGAATTCGAAAAAAAATCATATTCTTGTTATTTTTTTTGCCGACCCCCTGCTATAAACTACAACTACATGCTGTTTATACAGGGTGGGCCCATAGGTCTGGAATCATAGGGAAAAATTGTTTCTGCAGGCCCAAGATGTATCTGAGTGATAAGGAAGAACGAGTCCAGATCATTCCACTCGTAGGCAATCTGAGACAAGAGGGAGGCCGCTGTTGAATATAACAGGCTGCATCCAGACCGCGACACAATAACACAGCGCTGCAGTGTTAGCAAACTTGTGGCAAAGTTTCGGGAAACGGGACCCATGCGAGAAAAACCACGCAGTGGACCCTCGAAAAGTTGTTTATCGGTGGACTTATTTCGCACGTTTTGTGAATAAATGCGTCTTTATTGCCTTCTTTGTATTATATTTCCTCTGATTCCAGACGTATGGGACACCCTCTATATATACACACAGTCACACGCGGTGATGGTGTAACACATTGAGCGTTTATTTAGTGCAACCGGCTGAGAGCCGCAAAAGACCGGCATAGAGTCTGGATTTGCAAGAATGCAAATGAGGTCACCAAAGTTATCACGAAGCAAGTCGATAGACGAAGGCGATGTGTGCGGCGAGGATGCGATAGAAATCGGCACGAAAAAACAACCGCAGAATAAATTCCCTGCATCGCTCGGAGGTGGCGGCGGCGGGGGGTGGGGGTCAGATAATGTTGTGGAGTGATTAAACAGCAGTCCCAATGACGAAATAAAGTCAGAGGAACAGCAGACGGATATATGGAGGGGGGGGGGGTGTCTCGTGTACTCGTGCGTAAGCGGTCGAGGGTTACGTGAAGCCAAAAGCGATTTGCAACTGAAGTAAGCATAAATAATCGACAGTTAAAGTTTGACATCGTTGTGTAGATGCGAGAGTAAGAGCCGTGGATATTATAAAGCGATGGGATTCCACGTCTTTAGGGCATAAAAGAGTCACGATGCGTAAGGTTTTATATATTTATGTTAACAAATTACATCGGGTTATTTAATTGCTTCTATTTAACAAATGTTCAAACTGATTTATATTCACATTCACGCGCGCACGAATTGAATTTTGTAATTAAATTAGGGGCCGTTCTTTTTGTTTGTAAAGTTTACAGATTCCTTCTTTAACCAGCTTTAAAAAAATCTGATTTATCTCGCTCATCCTCGAGTAGCAAAAAAATGTCACCTGCAAAGAAAGAAAGAAAGAAAAAAGAAGAAAAGTTGATATTAATAATGACAATAGATAAAATATTAACTTTAAAAAATAAAATATTTCAAATGTGTTATTTTCAGTGTAATTTTTTTAAAATAACCTAGTGTGTCCTGATTTTTGGGCCATACCGATCTCTATATTTATGATGTTAGCAATAACTATGCATCCAGGTATCAACAAAGTAAAAAATGTACTTATATGCACATATACAATATATAGACACAATACATACACTAATACAAAATCAAATATAATATATAGACAATACATGCAATCACACAAAACCAATATACACAACATAGACACAATACATACAATAATACAAAGTTTTATGTCAAACATAATGTTTTCTTATTTTTGGTTCTTTCGGTAAAGTCACGTAAAAGGGGAATAATAAAATAATAAAAATTAAACATAATAAAATAAAATAAAAAATAAAATTCTCACTTTAATCGAAATTGAATGTTTTCTTAATCCGGCCTACACATACAAAAACATACATGGAAACGTCACCAGTTACTCTTCCGTGAAATGAAAATAGAGAGTCGATTCATTTTGCAAATTGAGTGCAACAGTTGCTATGAACTATCGCGTCGATCTATCAATGTCCACTATCGATCATTACCTTAAACACAATCGATGAATCACCCACATACAGCAGTATACTCCAGCATGTGTCTATGATATCGGAGATAGCGTTTAAACACCACACACCCCGTAACTGCACAGCGCCTATCGATATACACACACACACACCTACACAACAGACAGTACACGCGACAAGACCAAGGCAGCTCGGATAGTCTAAAGCAGCGCTTCTTCTTCTAAACCTTCTTAACCTGGGGGTGCACCATGCACTCCCTGGGGGTGCGAGACGCCCTTTCTGGGGGTGCGAGGCATGGTTGAACTTGTTTTTGGAATGTTAAATAATCGAAATCACAAATTAAGCACGGATACGTAAGTACAACTCACTTTGTTTCATGAAACCAAGATGTATATTTTTTGTTACGATCGAGAAGTAATGGGGTTCAGGTTGCAGGTAAGGTTAAGAGCCACTGGTCTTCAGGAGGTGCTGTTAGCGAGCGCCTATTACGGCCGGAGTGGTACACGGGGCTGTGTTACGTGGTCGGCACAACGCCGGGCCGCCTTTGTATACATGTTGTTGACATCGTTTATTGTGAAAATTCGGTCACAGTTCCTATGATCACTGTTTCATTGCTTTTATGGCTTAATTTTGGTGATTTTTGAAAAGTTTTTCGGTTTGGCCATGTTTGTTTGTTGTAGTACAGAGTTAGACTGATGGCCTAAATCTAAATTGTCTTGTGGTTGTTGTTGTTTGACTTGCATCCCACTGGGATTTTTGCACACAGCGTTGGTGTACGGTGCTTTTTCTGCAATATTTTGCTGTCTTTTCTTGGATTTTCTGTTTGCACATAGTCACTTTAAGATGTTTTCTTGTTCATGTTTTTGTTTTTTTGTTTGTTGCGGTTGCACCCGATTCAAGAGCCGAATGGCTCACAGGGCTATACCTAATAAATGAAACTTGAAACTTGAATCTCCAGTGCTGATGTTTACGCGCCACACAAGGCACTCGTTTGAGGCTGAGTCGACCTAGGGGACGCTCAGGACCGGTTCTAATCATCGCCACTGTTCGTGCTTCGTGAACGGGAGTCGAACTCGTGTCGCAGGGTTCGTAGCGCGATTCGCTAACCACCGCGCCACCGCTCCCCCGTAATAGCGCTATGGGGTGTCCGTGTTTTCATTTGTTGTTAAATCGTTTGAAGACATTTGATAAATAAGTAATGGAAATCTATTTATTTATTTATTCAGTAGTAGTGGATTGGACAAACAGATGTTTGCTCTCGATGTGCTCTTACCTCGTTATACATAAAATATATTATTATGATTTGTATTAGATAATTGTCATATCAGTGCCCTATGTTAATGCAGGCCAATTCAGACTGTATTGGTCACCCCGTGCCCCTTATACATCTCAACGTTCATCCTTTCAAGTCGCATCACAAGGGAGAAACACACACAGATAGACACTTTTTTGTGCCCGTATTGAAACGGCTGTAACGCCGTATGGACCTGAAAACTCAATTTCCCTGTACAAGAATACGGGGTGAACCGTGTGAATTGACACGGTATGGATAATAATTATAACCGATGCCTGTGTTTCGAATACAAACACCATTAGCGGACGATCTTCAGTGATTTGAAAGAGTTATTTTCGAGGAACACCAATATATCTTTGTTTGCTCTTCATCGTGAAATAATAATTTGTTCGGGCACTTAGTTGCACGTAATCGGCGTCTATCTGCGCCAAATCGAATTAGGCCCGCCGGTGGTACCAGTTGGCTGTAGAGCGCGCGCCGCTCACACCGGAACGCCACGACGACCACATTCATGCTCTTCCCGTGCAATTATCATCGACGCGATTACGCAGGACGCGCATCACGCCGCAGCACTTTTGGAGAGAGAGAATTTGCGTGTCATCCTTGCGCAGGGGCCATGCTAATCTTCTCTGTATCGTTCCAATTTTTAGTATATGTACTGCCGGAGAGAGAGAGAGAGGGGGGGAGAGAAGCGCATCTCGATCAGCCGCTACCATCTCCAGACTGAACATCAACGCGTACGTGTGTGTGTGGCTTTCATAGGTGCTCGCTAACAGCACTTGCCCTAGCAGTCTGTTCAGGCTATACGGGGGATATTTGTATTTATCTTTGTGTGTGTGGGAGGGGGGGTGTAGTTGTAAGCACGCTGCGCTACGAACCTGGCGACCCGAATTCGATTCCCGCTCACGGCCAACACCAGTGACGATTATCTGAAAACAGGCCATGGGCCTCCCCTAGGTCTACTCAGCCTCAAATGAGTACCTGGTGTGGTGTGTAAACATCGCCACTGGGGAGACAAAGGCGTCCGGGCGTGGTGTTGGCCACCCACCACCTCGCCTGCAGTGTGGCTCTTCCTCATATGTGCTCGCTCACAGCACTTGCCCGAACAGTCTGTTAAGGCAATATTGTACAACCCACACCACACGCGCACACATCAACCTTAGCCGCACACGTGCGCACGTATCCACCTACAAAGAAAAAGATCCCCCATGTAGCCTTTAGTAGACAGCCCGGGCAAGTGCCGTGAGCGAGCACCTCGGGGCGGGTGGCCAGCGCCACGCCCGACCGCCTTTGTCTCCCCAGTGGCGATGTTTCCTCCACACCGTACCAGGTACTCATTTGAGGCTGAGTCGACCTTGGGGAGGCCCAGGACCTATCCAGATAATCGCCACCGCGGGAATCGATCTCGGGTCGCCGGGATACACAGCGCAGCGCGCTAACCACTACACCACCGCTCCCCGCCACACACACACCTCCCCACCTCACCCACCACGCCGGGGCAGAACTTAGGCGGCGCACCCAAACTCCAAACTCCACCTTCCTGCGGCTCGCCGCGTGGAGGAGGCGGGACGCTCCCCCTCCCCACCTGCCCCCCCCCCTTCCTCCCACTGTGTGTGGGGGAGCCGGTACAGGTGAGCGGCTATAGCGGAGCGACGAGCACGCGCTCACAGGTAGCTTCTCTACCCCCCTCCCACCCCACCAAACCACCCAACCACCCCTCAGGCTATTACCTGCCCGCAGCATCTTCGGCAGCTGTTCGTGCATAGCGTGTGCACGGTATAGCGCTCGTTCCCGCCCTGCAGCAGTAAGCAGCGACAGCGGCGGCAGCAGCAGCAGCAGGAACATCAACATCATCATCATCAACATCATCATCAGCAACAGCAGCTCCCCGCGGCCGCGTGTGCTGGCCGGCTGGTTGGAATCAGAGAGGCGGGCAGGCATGTCACTGCTGCACAGCAAGGCGGAGTGGCAGGTACGGCTCGCGCGGCGATGAGACGGAGCGGCGGGGGGTGGGTGGCGGACGGAACGCGTGGCGAGCGGCGGGTCGTGCGCGCGGCTGTGGAGAGACGGGGACGAGAGGGCCTTTGTGGAAGTCGTGCTCGCGGAGTGGAGAGTTCCACATCGTCGCGTTGCTGATGCGATGTCGAGATTACGCAATGGTTACTTGACTATTTTTATTTTTTAACGAGGTTCAGTTTTTGGTTTTCTACGCGCGTGTTTGTGTGTGCTCGGTAACAGCACTTGCCCCAACAATATGTGGAGGCTATACGGGTGATCTTTGTATTTGTTTCTTTGTGTGTGTGTGTTAAATGCGTGTGTGTGAGTGTGAATGTGAGGGCAAAAGAGCGACGCTCACAACAACGAGCAGAGCGCCGGGCGGATAAAACTCAGAAAGTTTAACACGTAGGCTTTCGCCACCAATATTATTCATAATAAGGGTTTGTTTGGGTTAGATCGCTATCTAACCCGTAAACATTTTTATTATTAAAACTCAGAAAGTGTTCACAGTCGGGAGCACAGTTGGTGCATCTGCCAGTCATCTCAGTCAGTGTCAGCCAACCCATGGCACCTGGGGTCTGTCCCGTGACCTCCTGCCAGCAGCTAACCTTCGACACATCAGGTGCTCTCAAAGAGCACCTAGCCTGGCACAATCGCCGTGGTGACGTAGTAGGTTTGGCGTTCGGTTTATTTTGCCACAGGTGATGCCGACTGCAGGGTAATGAATGCTCATTTTCGTCGGGGACCAGGGTACACTGGTTACTACAGCAAACAACAAATTGGACACACACACGCACACGTACACACCAAAAAAAAAATCGCAAACATTTCGATTTAAAGCTTTCGTGACTGCAGGGATTCATATTATTGGTTCTTTCGGTAAAGTCACGTGGAAGGGAAAGAAAAAAATGTTTTAATTTTTTTGTTTGTTTCCCTTCTACGTGACTTTACCGAAAGAACCAACAATATAATTGCTGCATGGTCAAGTTCCGAATGGCAAGACATTAGCGCGTGAACGTCACGGCACAACCCAGCACACGGAATAACAACCCAGCAGAGAGAGAGAGATCATCAACTCCACAAGAGAATATCGGTGCAATGCCGAAGTCGGTTAAGATTGTAAAACAAAATAAAACTCACCATTTCTAAGTTGAAGTCTGCAAAAGGAGAGCGATCAGTCGCGTGTGTGGATAGGTAGATATGTGTGTGTGTTATGTTCAGGACTTATTCTAGGTTTACTCAGCCTCAAACGAGTTCCTGCTGCAGAGAGAGACAAAGGCGGCCGGGCTTGGTGTTGACCACCCACCCCTTCGCGTACCGTTGCGGCCTTCATAGGTGCTCACTAACAGCACTTGCCCAGACAGGCTGTTCAGGCTATACTGGGGATCTAGATCTTTTTTATATGAAGACATGACATACGGGTTGTAGTATACACGTGTGTACAGGTATTTGCTGGCGTGTGTTGCTGTTTGTTTGTTGGCTGGGTCACGACGCCCGAATGCCCAGCCACCGCATGCCCAAGCAGATTTTGTTTGACCGGATCGAGGGGGCTAAACCGGGCGTGACACGGGCTAGAGAAGAGATGGAGTGATGTGGCACAGGAGGATGTGGAGCTGAGCGGACTTGCCGATGACTGGTACCAGCGGTGTCAAGATCGGCCTCTGTGCAGGAGGCTTGTGAAGGACGCTACTGGGCAGTTGGAGGCAGTCGCCCTCCAGCAACAACGGAGGGCGGAGGAGCGACGCTCACAACAACGAGCGGAGCGCCGAGCGAATAAAACGCAGCAAGTTGGCACAGTGGCTAATCTGCCAGTCTTCTCATTCAGTCAACTCACGGTACCCTTCACACTTCACGTGGCCTCAAAGTGCACCTAGTCTGGCACAAGCGCCGTGCCGACATCACTGCCACTTCCTGACGAACGACGGCTGTTGATGTTGTTGTGCTAGGTGTGTGTGTGTGTGTTCACCAGGCGTGTGTGGCTGTGAATCTTTGTCCGTCCTATCGTGGAGTAGCTGGTTGAGGAATCACACGCACACAACATTTTCCTCCTAACTTACCACTTAATTGAGCACGCGTTAAGCGAGAAACACACATAATTAGCGCCCTTGACACAACTGGATGCAATTTAAACGATAAGGTGCTTGTTGTAGGCGTAACATCTGGGGAAGACAGCGAATTAAGTTGCACTATATAAGCGATTTGAACGATTGTATGCAACTGGCAGGAGTATCCAATGCAAAGTTATTGAGTAAATATCGTGGACAGAGACGCGTGAATGGAAGGAAGGCCATCCTTGCAGACGGATTGGAGAGGTAACGCGGGTACGTAGAGAGAGAACGAGAGAGATCGATTCTGTTGGTGAATTATTATTGTTATTATGCGTTCATACATCGTGTTACGATACAATTCATAATTATTATGTTGCATATATAGACAATGTGTCTGTATATATTGGAAATCGACGTATCTAGATACATTACTGAACTGTAAATTTCGATTAAAGCTTTCGTGACTGCAGGGATTCATCTTCTTGGTTCTTTCGGTAAAGTCACGTAGAAGGCAAATAATAAAATAATAATTACTGAACTGTGTATACAGATAACTCTAAAAGATAGATAGTATGTAAATTAATTAGGCAATTATATGCATTTAGAACTTATAGTCTATGCCCTAATTTAAAAAGCCCGTTTTGAATATTGTTCACACGCTGCAAATTTTTTTATTTGACAAATTGTAGAACAAAAAAAAACCCTCTGAAAACAAAACTGTGCCTACTGTGAATTAACTTGGAATTTAATTCCAAACGAAGCGTCCGTGCAAAACGTGGCTGTGGCTCCAGAAAGTGCCCGCCACGCCTTTCACCGCAACCCCAACTCTTGCTGCTGCTGCTGCTGGGGGGTGCGTAACGCATTTTCGCTGCGACGACAAGCCCCCGGTAACGATACACATTGTAGAACGCTCTCCGTGCATTGCAATACTTACTGCCTCGCGGTCGACTCACTGTTTAAGCTCGCGGATTCTCGGATGAGAACTGCACACCCCCCATCCCCCTCCAGCCATCGTGGAGTTGAGCTCTCGGTGAGAGTGTAATTTGCTCGTTCAAGGAACCCATTTACGGACAGCAGAATCTCAACATTGATTGAAATCCATCGTAAACTTTACCTGTTACAACACGTTTGCTCTAACTGTTACCATATACGCTACTTTATTGAATGACTATAGTATTAATCAGTTCATCGGTTAATCGCAGCGCCACCGTGGCGAGAAGTTAACTCCCTCGCCTGGTATTCAGGAGGTCGTGGGTTCGATCCCGATCCCGACCCTGACGCCTGCTGCTGTATATTTGGAGTTTGCGTGTCTCTGTCTCTCCCTGGTCGCGTGGATTTTTCTCCGGGTCCTCTCCGCTTTCTCTGCGTTTAGAGTATTTATTTTATTATGTTTTATTTTTATTATTTCATTACTTCCCTTCTACGTGACTTTACCGAAAGAACCAAGAAGATGAATCCCTGCAGTCACGAAAGCTTTAAATCGAAATTTAGAGTATTTGTTTTATAATAAATGTCCACGTGTTAAGCCACTTCTTTGAGCTATCATTTGTGGCCAGGTCGCTTCTGAAAAAGAGATGCATAGTTCAGTGGGCCTTAGCTGGTAAAATAAATAGTAAAACATATAGTTTAGACTCAATTGATTATATAATCTTTGTTGTGAGCATCATCATCATCGTGTTAATGATTTATATATGGAGATGCAATGAGTCATGGGCGTTTGCGAATGTTTGAATGTGTTCCAGGAATTATCATTCTGTATCGTCTTCGGTTTGAATTTGTATTTCGTTTGTCTTCATATCTGCGATCGTCTAAGAAAGTGGTTCTAACCTTTACTGCAGCCTTACACCCCTTGATTCTCAATCGTAATTTATTTTATCATTGGTAATAAATACGGATATTTGATGAAACAAAGTACTCGTATGATAATTGTTTTTTTACCCTTCTATCTGGCAACAAAACTGACACCTTTTTACAAGGAATCATGTTTGCATAGACCACAATACCTGCAGTCATAACGCAAACAAAAAACATAACTCTGATAATGTATGCACTGTCCTTGAAGTTGATTGGTCCACACCCGAGACAGCTTTCCTTAGAGCCTAGTCTCACATGGGTTGGACCAGATGACGCCAAATAACATTATCAGAGTTATGTTTTTTGTTCGCATTATGACTGCAGGTATTGTGGTCTATGCAAACATGACTCCTTGTAAAAAAGGTGTCAGTTTTGTTGCCAGATAGAAGGGTAAAAAATCAATTATCATATTTTTTACTGCCAAATGAGGTTCCAATGGTGTGAAAGCAGTCGTACTCAAGTGCCCGTTCTTTATTTGTGTTTCGATGATTTGCCTTCTAAAAAAAAAATAATCTGGCCCATGTCTCGCACCCCCAAAAAGGGCATCTCGCACCCCCACGGCGTGCGTGCACCCCAGGTTCAGTAACCGCTGCCCTAAGCAGTTGATTCCCACGGTTGATTGTTTAATGGTTTGTACGGAATGTCTGACTCTCTCGTGGGGGTGAATTGAGTCATCGGCGATTGTAATATTTTTTTGAATGCGTTCCAGCAAGCGAATTCCTCGAACAAAAGTGTAATTTTTGGTGTTGCGTTTGATCGGCTGAACGTGATTGTTTGAGATATATAATATTAAAACCTGTTGTAATAAATAGGACTGTGAATAAGGGATAACGCCTTTTGAAGATCAAACGTTGCATGGTAAACATACACGTACATATGTAAGCCAGATCTCTGGTTGGTGTCTCCACATGTAGGGTAAATAGACAATATGTGCTGAGTTCATCGACCTCGCGGCTTTCCACACCAGCATCATCAAGCAGCACTTGTTCAAAGAGGTCAAACTCTGGACCGGATTCGACTTTCTGGGTCTCATCAGCAGGATCGGGCTGTGGTTAAAAAAAAAAAACTGCTG